TATGAAATGTAGTCAATTTGAGCACTTTATGAAAAGAGTTGCGCCACTTTCTTGCTACGCAGGATTTATTGAGATAAACAAAGACTTGTCAAATTGTGCTGAGCACTGTCCTCCGGTAAAAAGTACATTAAAATTATTTGTCGTTCGCAAAGGAAAATTTAAGTCATTGATACAGTATTGAACATACGTAATAAACGAACGTTTGAAGTCCGAAAGTGCAACACTGTATACGTATATCATGCATATTATTAAATAATATAAATCTTTAAAAAAACACACAAATACCAATCAAATGACTTGAATTGTGATACAATACAAAAGAAATATGCTTAGGTTATGCAATATGTATAAAATAAAATATAATTAAAAGGCATACCTTGTTTTGTATTTTCAACACCAGGAGAAGTTCCAACATCTTTTGCATTAGCATCATCACCACTTGTGATTTCTATGAACAATATTTTAAAAAACATTATCCACACAAGCTGTGTATTTCTATTTTGACAACAAGTAAAAAAATGAGTTTAAAGCTAGCACTCGAAAAGAAATAACACAAATAAATTGGAAAGTTTTGGATAGAAGCTTTTTAAAACTATAAATTTCATTTCGTTTTGCCCATTAGTTCCAAAATTTCATATACATATATTACGCACTGTTTTACATGACTGACATTTTCAAGTAATAAAATGACCTTACAAAAGGAAATATTGCGGGGGCAGAATATATTTTCACGTAATGAACCAGCTTTCATTAGGGGTAAGATTACCAATAAATATAGATAAACAAACTTCATGAATTACGACTGCCAAAGAGAATTTTGATAAAATACAAGACAATAGACACTGTATATAGAAAACATTATTTATCTAGATTAAACAATGTTTACTATATACGGAGTGTCTATTGTCTTGTGTTTTACCAAAATTTCATGAAGCAAACAGCAAATGTTTTGTAAAACGAAAATAAAAACAAAACAAAAAAACATGGTATCAATGTAAGTTAAAAAAGAACACTCGAAAAGCGGGTTTAATTATCTAGGCGACATAATTTCAAACTACATATTTTCTGCTAGCAAAAACTAGACGAGTGAAAGCCAGTCCTTGCAAAACCGAAAGGATGGGAAAAGAAAAGAAAGCTTCGTTTCAAGTCAAATAATACCATAATATTTTCTTGCTGTAAAAAGTACTACACTGAAAATGGCATAGGCTTGCTGAAATATGTCTGTCTTGAAATCATCCTGAATTATTTCCAATGTTTGTCAATCTTTCAGTCTGATTTTTTTGAATACATAATTTTCACTGAGCTGGGTTTGGTGAGTCTTACAACTAACAATGAGTTTATAGCTGTTATACATCTTGAGCAATGTTTGTTTGATTAAAATGTTTTGTTTCCATCTCACTGTTCTTTAGAGTGGGTTTTATGTATCTGTTTTTAGTTTATAGGTAGATTTTTGAATTATTCTTTTTGTTGATTAATGTAAATAAGAATCCCAACTGCGTTTTAATTATTGCTTTGGCTCTTTTGTTTGTCTACAACCAAAATGATTAACCCAGTCCTCACATGAAACTATTTGTATGTCAATGAACAATTTAAATCTAGGACTTTAAATTCATTATGGCCAAATTTTTTTGTATTATACCACGAAATTTGTATAAATTCTTACCTAAAGATTGTTTTTGAATTTCCAGAGCTTTTCCGTGAACTTCTTTAGCCTTGTCGTAGTTTCCAGTTTTTCCAAGCACATTACCAAGATTGTATAAAGACGGAGCGACATGAACATGATTTGGACCTAACGATTGTTTTCGAATTTCTAGAGGTTTTTCGTAAAACTTTATAGCTTTGTCGTAGTTTCCAGTCTTATAATACACATTACCAAGATTGATGAAAGAATCAGCAACATCAACATGATTTGGACCTAACGATTGTTTTTGAATTTCCAGAGCTTTTTCGTAAAACTCTACGGCTTTGTCGTAGTTTCCAGTATTATCAAACACCACACCAAGATTGTTTAAAGACGCAGCGACATCAACATGTATTGGACCTAACGATTGTTTTCGAATTTCCAGAGCTTTTTCGTAAAACTCTACGGCTTTGTCGTAGTTTCCAGTTTCATCAAACACCACTCCAAGATTGTTTAAAGACTGAGCGACATCAACATGATTTGGACCTAACGATTGTTTTCGAATTTCTAGAGCTTTTTCATGAACCTCTATAGCTTTGTCGTAGTTTCCAGTTTTTTCAAGCACATTACCAAGATTGTTTAAAGACGTAGCGACATCAACATGATTTGGACCTAACGATTGTTTTCGAATTTCCAGAGCTTTTCGTAAAACTCTATAGCTTTGTCGTAGTTTCCAGTATTTTCAAGCACAATAGCAAGATTGTTTAAAGACGTAGCGACATCAACATGATTTGGACCTAACGATTGTTTTCTAATTTCCAGAGCTCTTTCGTAAAACTCTATAGCTTTGTCGTAGTTTCCAGTATTTTCAAGCACATTACCCAGATTATTTAAAGACGTAGCGACATCAACATGATTTGGACCTAACGATTGTTTTGAATTTCCAGAGCTTTTCATGATGATTTTTGCTTTGCTATACTTCCCAGTGTCATGGTATAAAAGACCGAGGGTACTAAAATACCAAGCTTTGTCATAACTAGATAGTTCTGATTTAAATTTATCCAATAATCCAAGAGCAAGACCGTATTTCCCAAAATGTCTTAATCTGTCAACAAAATATTGAAAAACTTGTAAAGTGTTCATGTAGATTTTCGTCTTGTTGGTCTTTAATAATTGAACAATTTTTTCAAGATGTGGCATTAATTTGATTTCGTCGTCTCTCTCTTTAAACATGTAAAGTGCTTTGGATATTTGATCAACGTTAGTTTCCATTTCATGTTCTTCATTTGAATGTTCAGATTGATACACAATAACTGCTTTGTGAACAATACGATGTAGACTAATATCATTATTTTCTGAATGCAAGAACAATGAGCAGTCATTTAAACAAAGACATATATCTTCCTTTGAGTGTTTGGGATCAATTTCTTGAACATAAAAAACAATAATGTCTCGTGGTATAAGATCAAACGATATCATAGAAAAAAAGTTAATAACATTTGCCAATATTGAGGATTCTTCAGCATTTTGTCTGACAGCTAAAAGTGAAGCTTGTAACATACTTCTTGGATATACCGAGTTATATTTAACAAAAATGGCGTCCATGCTTTCTTCTTCTTCTGAACATATTTTCTTTAAATATTGACTCCAAGTAAATAAACAGTTGACTTTTTTTACACGACTGAAATAACAACCAGCAGCAACCAAAGCCAGCGGTTGACGATCTAATGCGTGCGATACTTCATTTAACAATTGATCATCAGCATGTTCAATAGTGTAATGCTTTAACAGTTGAAAACATTCCCTATTATTCATTCCACTTCTGATAGAAATATGTTTGTTAAACTCATCGTCTTGAGGTACGGCATCTGTGTTCTGGATGGTTACTATGATTTGTCCATTTCTCCACATGGGATCACCAACTTGGGGAAGTAATGAAGAAATTTTTCCAAGCTGTACCACGTTGTCTACAATGATCAACCAATTTTGCCATAATTTTAATCGTGTGGATACTAACGATTGCAAATTCTTCACTTTGTCTATGATGGAACAGTTTTCATTTTCAAATTTTTTAATCATATATTTGTCACAGTTTAAACGGTATACAAGTTCACAGTAAGTTTTTAAAAGAGATTCCTCATTTTTTCCATCGAGAGTCATTACAAGCGAAGTTCTATTTTTCCAATTACACGATATTTTTTCACAAACCTGTCTTGCAAGTTGTGATTTACCACTGCCAGGATTACCAGTGATGTAAAAATATGTCAGTTTATCATTGTTATCATTCCTTAATTTTTCAAGATCTTTTATAATTTTATCTCGTAATTCAGTGCGTTCAACCAAAAAATGATTAGGTTTTGAAGGAAGAACTTGGAATAAATCAAAACTGTCACGATGATTTTTTGCCGAAATGGACGAAACTTGTTTCATACTATCATTTTACGAAGTCCTTGAAATGATTTGCTAAATGATAAATACTTTACGACGTGGTGGCGTCCTAGACCCAGATCCCTCGCAAATATTTGACGACGTCGTAGACGAAACGTCGTGTTTGCTAAATCACTCTATTGTCTACGAAGAAATAACAATTTAATCGTTTATTTTCACTACGAAGAAAAAAAGTCAGCACATTGTGCCAAAAATATAATCAAGAAAATAATGATTAGGTGGCGTTTATCGCAAATAAAAAAGATTAGATTTGATTGGATAATTGAATCTGGTGCCACTTAGCATATGATGTTTGAACATGACAATTTATCTGACTATGAAGACTTGAGAAAGCCAACGGAAGTAATTCATGGGGATGAGCGTTTAATATTGGTTTATGGGAAAGGAACTCACCGCGTGGCCATTAATTTATATAAGTCACATCAACGTAACGTAATCTGGGGCGCAAAGTGCAACATTTCCCATAGAAGATGAAATATGTGAGCCGTTAAACGAAGCTTAAGCTTAAGAGTCAGTCAGTGGCTTCTCCGTGATGTATGTCATGTAAGAAAAGTACAATTTAACACATTTTTTGAAACGGAAAAAGTATGGTGGCCGTCAAATGAAGACACTTTGCGAGCAAATTTTAATTGTTTCGACAAAGTTCTGTTGGGTTAACAGGTATTTTGAATAGTTTTTGTTAATATAGGGGGGGGATCAGTTGCGTGCTAGGAACACTGTAGGGGGGGCAGTCAGCTACTACTGAAATGAGCCCTAAATATATAGACTTTAAAAACAGGGCCCAAAGCCTGAGCCGAGAACCTAAGGTGCGAGTAGTGTTTGGGGAGTCCGTGGGCAAATGCTTCCATAGAAAATTTTTTATTAAGAAGCTCTAAAATGCCATTTCCTGTACTTTGGGATGCATTTCTCGCAGTTTTTGTTCATTACCTACCTGTGCGCAGACTATAAAACTACATGTTTTACTGCAAAAAGCAGACGACCGACAGACCGTCTTCCATCTATCCCATTGATCTCCATACATATGTTCGGATTGCATGCAGCTAGCATGAACAAATTCTACAAAAACAAAATATTTTTACTTTGTGCGCATGATCGGACCTTCCTACAAAACAACTGAAGATATCAATATATACAAGCGCTAGCTTTGCAATCGATCGCAAAAATCATGGTTAAATCTCATTAGTTTAGCGAATTTTGTACTTGTATAGTTGTATTTAGCACACTTTTAAGTTTTGCAATCCACAAAAAATCGTTGTAGATATAGCAAAAATATATTATGATATTGTACATATGAATATAATTACATTCAATTTAAGTGGTGAAACCAAATTTAGTCCTGCAATCCAATTTTTCTGTCTTCACTTACTGTAAAAACAATAGACTTCTAAAGAAATGGATAATGATGTTCTGAAGTTTACATAGAACGATCAGAACAGGCTGACTGGCTACATTACAGTGATACAAGTCATATGTGACTTGAACTATCGGTTCCATGAACACTATCTCATACAGGCATACACCTCAATAAAAAGTTGCAAAAAAGCAGTTTTATCAAAAACGGTTTTCAAACACAATGACAAACAATTTTTCGTTGAAACTCTTCAGAAATCATAAGGACAACTGCTTCCATGATTTGAGAAAGGAAGAAGAGTCACGTGACATGTACTCTAAGCAAAGGCGCTCGGCAAATGCAAATAGGGTTAGGACATTCGACTAAACAGTGAGCAAAAGGCATATTTTTTAAATTTTAATAAATCTGCGACGCCTTTGGATATTCAAAAATTTGCGGAATGTTTAGATAAGTGAGCAAAAAGTATATGTTTTGAAAAATATTGCCATGCTCAAACCCTAAAAACATTCGTGTTGTTCTGATACAAAGAAATACATTTGAATGTTGAAAAACTGCAAAAATGTAGTTACATTATTCGATATTAATGACATGTATTTGTTTTTCGTGTTTTTTACTTACTTATGAGACATTTACGGTTTTGTAAAAGTGCTTGTGGTAACGGTCGGTAGTTTTGTATTGAGAGTTGCCTACCTTGTTAAAATATAAGATTGAGACAAAACATACGTGAAAGCCACGCGAGATCGCGCGCGTGACAAACATTGCACACGATTCAAGAAATGTATTTAGTATTTACATAAATTGATTGCATAATAAACCTACAGAGGTGTTAGAGCAACTGATATGTATATTTTACTGGATAATTGAAGCCGGAAGTTGGTTATCCCACTTAACAATACTTTTGTATTACAAAATCATCAGTTTTTGCGTTTTTATTCGTTCTACAAACTTTTGATTCGAGCAAAATTTTTGTGAAAGGGATAGAACAACCGGCAAAGATATTTAATCTTAAAAAGTTTGTCTTCTTGGCTTTATAATGGCAGAAAATTGAGATGGTACAAGGTCGACCTGCATTGTTTTGAAACAAACTGGAGATTATATGATGCTGCTGCGTCATAAAAAAATGTAGAAATATTACAGAATCCTTCTACTGCTATCAAAATTTCATCTGCAATGATGTTTATGGAAGATTGCTACAAATTTACTTATTTAACAACACTTTGTTATTCACATCGCTAATATCATAATAAATTCAAATTACGTCTTTAGTATATCATTGAAGAAACAAAACAAATCGACATAGAAAAATGATCGGAAAGACATTTTGATGAACAATAGTAAGTTGAAAACGGTATCATCAAACTCTACGAGATGTACATCATCAAATTATGTGAAGCAAAGTTTTCAACAAGTTCCTATGTGAACAACTTCAATATCGATGAATATGTTGAAGATATGAATGCCTTTGTTCTTACTTTGATGTAAATTTGTAATTTAAGTATTCATCTTCTAAAAATGCTTCGCACGGCTGAAATTGTCCTCGTCACCTTCAACTTCCAAAGCTTTAATACAACTTGCCATCTTATTTTTCAGTCGTTACAAAGCCAAAAAAACGGGGCTTCAGGGTAAAAACTCTCTACCGGTTTTCCTCTACATGTCATAAAAATTTTGTTTTAATCAGAAAATTTGTAAAAGGAATAAAAAAGCGAAAAATTTTGAGATAGTTGTGTAAAACACTATCAAAAACATGTTTTTGACAAAAGCAATTATAACTCTGACTTCATCAAACGCAACACTTACAAACCCAACGAACCCAACGAAACGAACAAATCAGGAACATAAACAATATAAACTGCTCCGACTGCCACCCCACCTATATCGGGGAAACTGGCTGGAACTTAAACATAAGACTTACTGAACACAAACAAGCTACTAAGAAACAAGACAAAACTAATCACATTGTCGAACATCACCGAATCACAAAGCACAACATTGACTGTGACTCGGCAAAATGCATTACTTACAGCACTGACTATGGACAACGGTTTACATTAGAAAGTTGGTATACCAACTTGGAGCAAACCCCTTTGAACAGATCACAGCAATTACCGGCACCTTACAAACGACGTATTCACAATACAAACAAACGATCAACTAAAAACATTACACTTCACACTAATTCACAATGACAATACACAATTGACACCCAAACATTTCCCGTACACACAATACAATGACGTAAGAACCAGATAACAAATACGGCTAACCTGACCACAAAATAGACTTCTAACAGAAGGCCCACTCGGCTAAAATTGTGGCGTATTTTTTCACTACGCATGCGTGACTTCCCAGCAAGATATTTTCACAAATTTAAAATGGAATAGTGTTGCACGAGAATGCTATTTTTCTCTGGACTATACCAACCTGGACGATCTACATTTACAAACATGTAACGATACTCCCGGGTTCAAACCATTTACTTTATTAATATATCCTAAGTGATGGCAGATTACTGGCGATTACAAAATGCGATTACCTCACTGATATGTATATTAGACTGGTCAACGCATCTCATGCAAAAATTGAAGCCGGAAGATCGATCATTTGCTACTGGCTTCATTGGGGGTATCGGTCCCACTTTACTATACTTTTGTATTACAAAATCACAGCTTTCGCGTTTTTATTCCTTTTACAAACTTCTGATTAAGGCAAAATTTTTATAACAAGTAGAGGAAAACCGGTACAGAGTTTTAACCCAGAAGCTCTGTTTTTTGGCTTTGTGAAATTGACTGAAAAATAAGATCGCAAGTTGTATTGAAATTTGAAAGTTGAAGGTGACGAGGACAATTTCAGCCGTGCGAGGAATTTTTAGAAGATGAATACTAAAATTACCAATTTACAACAAAGTAAGAACAAAGGTATTCATATCTTCAACATATTCATCGATATTGAAATTGTTCACATAAGAACTGGTTGAAAACTTTGCTTCGCATAATTTGATGATGTACATCTTGTAGAGTTTGATGATACCGTTCTCAACTTACTATTGGTCATCAAAATGTCTTTCTGATTATTTTTCTATGTCGATTTGCTTTGTTTCTTCAATGATATAATAAAGACGTAATTTGAAATTATTATGATTTTAGTACGGTGGCCCACAATCGACACAATACTTCCATGCAAAATAATGTTTTCATTGAACATTTAATATTTCCACGCAAAATACTATGTTTTCCATTGAGCATTTAATATTTCCACGCAAAATATTGCGTTTTTCATTGAACATTTGTTGTTTCGCCGTACAATATTGCTTGTTTTTCGTGCAACGTTCAAACTTTTGCGCGCTCATGAGTTGAATATAATGCAGTTACTTGAAGTTTCGAGAAAATCTATTTGGCAAATCTTACCAATAAATATTATAAAACACGAGTCTGAAAGTGGAATTTTTAAGGCAAAATGTTCTGCCAAAGTTGTGGAACAAAACTTTTGGATAAAGCCAAATTTTGCCACAACTGTGGGTTTTGTGCATTATCAGATGTCGGTAAGTACATAATCCTATAGTTTATAAAATACAAGTGCACGAACGTTCGTTCAATTGTAAAACGGAAGTTGTTCATTCTACTTTTTATTTATTTAAAATCTTCTTATCTATCCCTATTTTTCTTATATGTTTTCCCATTTGTTTTGGCTGTTATATTATTTTCTGTAACAATATAATTCAAACTGTATCTAAACACAGAAATAGGTTCAAAACCGCTAAGCAAGACCACTGGAGTAAAATCCCTTTCATTTAAAGAGTTCATAAGAAGATAGAGGAAGACAGATCATCAAAATTTAAGCTAAAACCTGGAGGAAAAAAAGCAAAGTTGTCAAAAGAGGTGAAGGTGCACGTTGGCATTGAAAAGGCAAAAATGGAGATGGTCTATTGGTAAGAGTGAAGTCATAGACAATAACAATTGCAGTTGATGAATATGTTGATGGAAATGCTCTTCTTGAAAAAGTAATTGATATACAACCATATCCGCGGCCGGTTCCAGTGAGGAATGGACGTATTTCCAAACACGCTGGCAGAATTATGTTAAAGCCACAAAAATAACCGGCAAAGACAAAATCATCCAATTACTCGAATGCTATGACGAAACGCTTCGTAAGGACCTCACCAGAAACGCTGGCGGCACCCTCACAAACAAACCCATCAGCGACGTCATGGCTGCAATCTGCGAACTCACTGTACGAGAAGAAAACACAGGATGGTCATCTGTGCGAAAAAGAACGGTAAACTACAACTAACCGTTGACCTACAAGCACTAAATGCAAATGCCACTAGGGAGACCAACCACACCGAGAGCCCTTTCCATCAGGCTTGCTCTGTTCCTAGTGGCAAAAAGAAATCAGTGTTCGACTGCTGGAACGGTTATCACAGCGTTCCCCTTTACCCAGACGACAGACACCTCACCACCTTTATCACTACCTGGGGTCGCTATCGTTATAAGTCAGCGCCATAAGGGTACATTGCTTCGTGGGAAGGTTACTCGCGCTGGTTCGATGAGATTGTATCACACATTCCAAACAAAAAAAAATGCATAGATGATACCCTACTTTGGGCGGATAACCTCACCCAAAGTTTTCATCAGGCTGTCCAATGGCTAGATATCTGTGGTCGAAACGGCATCATCCTCAACCCAGACAAATTTGTCTTCGGATCAGATACAGTTGAGTTCGCAGGGTTTGAAATCACATCAAACTCTGTTCGCCCAAGCAGGAAACTCATCGATGCTATTTGCCATTTTATAAAGCCGAGCAGTATCACTGACATCCGCTCTTGATTTGGCCTGATCAATCAAGTCTCATATGCCTTTGAAACCACTGAACGTATGCTACCGTTCAGAAAACTGCTAAAACCAAGCACGATGTTTTATTGGGACGAGGAGCTCTACACACTCTTTGAGGAATCCAAATCCGTAATCATAAATGAAATCCATGAGGGCGTTTGCATCTTTGACAAAACACGCCCCACCTGTCTTGCCACTGATTGGTCAAAACATGGCATCGGATTTTGGCTACTCTAAAAACACTGTGAATGATAATTAACTGGACCAATATGCTGCTACACCGAGTGGAAGATAAGCCTGGTCGGCAGCCGCTTTACACATGCCGCTGAATCTCGATATGCACCAATAGAAGGGGAGGCACTGGCAGTCGCAGACGCCCTCGACAAATCCAGGTTCTTCGTACTCGGTTGCACCAACCTCAAAATCGCTGTAGACCACAAACCTCTGCTTAAACTATTTGGTGATCGGATATTGGAGAATATCCCAAACCCCGCCTACGCAATCTCAAGTAGAAGACACTAAGATACAGGTTCCAAATGATCCATATCCCTGGTATTCGTCACAAAGCCGCCGATGCGATCTCCCTCCGACCCACAGATCCAGAGAACCCAAAAATGCTTTGCCTCCAGGACGACATAGCAGAGTTAAAGGACACCTCTACACACACCGGCTTTGACGAAACCATCGCTTCACTCGCTTCTCTAGCACTTACAAACGTCGCCACAGCCTGGAACAGGGTACGCATGGAAACTGCCAGCGACACCAATATGCACGATCTCATGAATGTCATCAAATCTGGCTTTCCAGCTTCACGTAATGACCTCCCATTACCATTACAAGAATACTAGCAGTTTCGACACAGCCTCTACACAGTGGACGGCGTCATCATGTACAAAGATCGTGTGCTTATCCCACCACTGTTACGCAAAAACATCCTGGAAGTGCTAAACTCGGCATACCTGGGCATATCATCTATGACATCCCGCGCAGAGGACTCAGTCTTCTGGCCGGGAATCACATCAGATATCGCAGCAATTCGTACGCATTGCAACCATTACAACCGGATAGCACCATCCCAACCCAGCGCACCACCCACACCAACCATCTCACCAGCCTACCCCTTCCAGTGCATCTATGCGGATTATTTCCACTACAAAGGATCCAACTATCTCGTAATCGTAGATCGTTACTCTAACTGGCCTATTATCGAACGAGCCAAAGACGGTTGCGACGGACTAATCAATTGCCTACGTCGCGTCTTCACCACCTTTGGGATCCCAGAACGAATGCGCTACTGACGATGGACCAGAATTCACCGCCGTCAAAACACGGCAGTTTCTCAAATAATGGGGGTACACTACCGCCTCGCATTCGTTGCATTCCCGCACTCAAATTGCCACGCGGAGGTTGCCGTTAAAACTGTGAAACGCCTTATCACGAACAATATCGGCCCCACTGGTAGCCTCAACACAAACGCCTTACAAATTGCTGTTCTACAATATCGTAACACGCCCGATACCGATACGAAATTATCACAGGCCCAATGCGTCTTTGGTAGACCTATTAAGAAATTCATACCAATTTCCCCCGACCGTTATAGGCCACACGCAACCTGGAGCGAAACACTCGATGCTCGAGAGGAGGCTTTACGAAACCGGCACATGAGAGCGGCGGAACGTTGGTCAGAACACACAAGAAGATTACCACCTCTGTCCACTGGACATCACGTAAGAATACAGAACCAAACAGGACCGTGCACTATGAAATGGGACAAGACTGGAACAGGCATCGAAGTCCTTCAACACGATCAATACCGCGTCATAGTCGACGGGTCCAACAGAATTACACTATGAAACAGAAAATTTCTCCGGCAATTCACACCTGTACAAGAGCGGCCACCCAAATGTATTATTGATACGGACCTGCTGCTGATACCAAAAGTCTCAATGGAGAACCTTACTCCCAGCAAATTGACACCAGCCAACAGAAAACCAACATCGTCATTACCACGTCTAGGACCGACGACACAGACTGATACCCTAGAGCCAGCACCACTACCGAACATAGATACCGCAGATGGAATTTCACCAAACGCAACCAACATACCTGAGGATGCCAGAGAACCTACACCAGCGACCACCAAGCCTAGCAAGAAAGAACCACTAACTCTACACAGATTACTCGATTTCAACAAGAAAGGGCTGTTAGAAAATTGAGAGGAGGAACAAATATCAAAGAACAACTTTATATTACGCTTTCTTACACTAGAAAAGACTTAGGGGTGGATAGAGCATAATGGGATAATCGTTGATTAATAAAGGGCCTGGACCCAACTGTTATTGTTGTTTGTCCTTCGTAAACGAATGACCTCTGTATTTTGTCTCTCAATATATACTTTACAAGATCTTCATTTCGTGAAATAGACTAAGTCTTATCTAAAATATGCGTTTGTTTGCTCTAATGTTGGGAAAAGTAAATCTCACAGTTGGATAAGGTGACATTTCATTATATTCTGATAAATCAAATGAAGGGAAGGTGATAGAGAATTCTTGTTGTAGGCTTGTAGAAAGTATAAAGATTTGTTAACATCAAGTTCAAAGTTTGGTTGTATCTTTTAGGTATATTTAACGACAAGCTGTTTCTGATAATCAGAATTGACTCGTAAGGTGGCAAAAGTTAAGTTTATCAAAATCATAAGTCAAAACGATTCCACACCCAGAATACAAAAATGTTCATTGCTGTAATTGAATTGAATAATTAGTTTATAATTAGTTAATCGGTCTAATTTTAACCAGAAGAGCCTCAAGCGTGGCAGAATTATATTAGAATTTCTGCTGTATACCACCATGTGGTCCAAAAGCTCTGTTTTTCAAATCAGAAATCAAAGATTTTCAGTTTTATTTATTTAATGCTATGAATTTTAATGTATAGCATTCGTCAACAGCCCAACAAGAGATAATTGCAACGTCACAAAACGACAAAACGATTAGATATTTAAAATATTCAATGATGACATCATGAGTCCATTTGCAATTTCAAAGTAAATTTCCTTCCTGATTCATAAATGTCATTTCATACTATCACAAGTATAATGAAATAACACATATTTTAGAAATATACTGTCCGCACCCAAAGATAAATGTAATTGCATGGTAACAAGCAATTTAAATTCCTTAGCAAGCAAGCACACTATGATAAACACGCCTTCCTTCAGATGACAGTGATTTTTTGGTAAGCAAATTGTTTGTAGTTGTAACTTTGTTTAATTAGTGTACAACTACAGGATCACAAGTTGCTACGGTTACCTATGATGTAATTTTATAGTACTAAGGTGAGACTAATATTTATTAAAAGTGCATTAATTATATTTGACAAACAACTTTTATGTAAGATCTCATTTATACATCGTTAACACACACGATAATTCATTGTCTTTTGTCTTACAAACCTTTTACTGGTCGACGATTGAAGCTTTGAACATTCGATCTTTCAGATTTCTTAAGCGTCAAATGGCTTCGTCCGTTGAGTTGATACGTGGCAAATTATTTTGTGCAACTGAATTTAAAAATTAAAAGTTAATTGTTATGTAAAAGCAAAGATACGGCCTTATAATTTTTATTATTTTTCTTTATAAGTTTGAATTCAATTTGGATCAAATTCATCAATAGAAATGAGAAGTGTAAATTATACTACATTATACCATTTTTAAGGTACTTTGGGAGCGATTGGTAAAAAACTACAGCTCGATATGTCTGTTTTATTTTTATACTATTGGTACTCTTGCCTGTTGAATAACACAATATCATTGCACAATTATATGTCATGAACGTTAATATGTTTGTATTTGTAACTTGGTTTGATTGGTGTACAATTACAGGATTGCAAAGTGCTACGGGTATCTATGATGTATATTTTATAGTATTTTGGTGTGACCAATATTTATTAAAAGTTTATCAATTAAATATGACGAGCAATTTTTATTTAAGATCTCATTTACAGATCGTTAACACATACAATGAATCTTCATCTTTATTTTTACAAACCTTTTACTAGTTGATGGCTCAAAACTTTGAACATTCGATCTTTCAAATCACTTAACGTTCTGATAAGTTAAGCGACAAATGGTTGCGTCCTTTGAGTTGATACGTGGCAAATTATTTTGTGCAACTTAATTTAAAACATTAAAAGTTTATTGTTATGTAAAGCAAAGATACGGCCTTATGATTTTTATTGTGTTTATTAACATGTCTGAATTTTATTACCGTTTCCTTGGCATTTTAGTTGTTTGTTAAAGAAAACCTTAGCTCCATAATTAAGAGTTCGTCTTATACATGAAAATTTACAATATCAGATTGTGGAACTTTTGTTTCATTTGCTTGTTTAAGTTGAATAAGACAAACTAGGCGTTCGTTGGCTTAAATGTTGGGAAAAGTAAATCTCGCGCCTTGATAAGATAACATTACATTATATTCTGATAAATTAAATGAAGGAAAGCTGATATAGAATTCTTATTGTAGAAACTATAAAGATATGTTAAGATCATGTCCGATGTTTGATTGTATCATTTATCTATATTTCAAGCTGTTTCTGGTAGTTAGAAATGATCCGTAAGATGGCAAAAGTTAAGTTTATTAAAAGCACAACTCAAAGCGACTTCACACCAAGAATATAAAAATGTCCATTGCTGTAATTGAATTAACAAATTAGTTTATAACTAGTTTATTGGCATAAATTTAACCCAAAAAGCCTCAAACGTGGTCGAACTAAATTAGTCAAGAACTGTAAACTGAATAGATTTTTTTATATATAGGCATATACAACACCTCCATGTGGTCCAAAAGCTTTGTTTTTATAAACATTGCTATACTCAGATACCTCAAGATTACAAGTATCATGTAAGCTATGTTTCTGCGATGAACACTACATCGGGTTTCTTGCTTGGCAGCGAAATCGCGAATTATTTTGAGCTTTTCTTTTTAAATGTAAAGCCTAATTATATATGCAAAATGCACTTCCGGTTACCACTGGAGATACAAATTATTATAGAAATGTTTGGCGGATAACGTTTACAAACATGGATTTTCGAATATTTAAGACATTTAGCGACGTTTTACTTATCTCAAATATCTGTCATGGATAAATAAAGTTATTTAAATCAATGTGACATCAAAATTATTTCGATACCTGTAAAATATCGGCGTTCGTGTTCATTTGAAAATCGCTCGTGCAAGAATCAAATTTGCCTCATAGTGGCCAAGGCAAGATAATGCACAGCTCGCTTTCCAAGTTTAGAGGCAGTTATGATCTAGAATATGTTTCAATGCGTAAAAATTGTGGTAAGTACCTTTATTTTTTACATTCTTTATAATCTAGAGATTGTCGTATGTTCCTTTTTCCGTGACTTTATGAGTCCGGGTATATTGGTGTAGGAACAAACAAATTTACTAAGCTTAGTTTGTACGTAGTTTTAATTTCTATTTTTATTTTATAAAGATAATATCACTACACCTTGCTACAGCATTTGGATATGGTTTTCATCAGTACGTATGGTTGTTATTGTCATAACATGCAGGGGCGGATATAAGGTACATGTCAAATCAGTCACGCGACTGATGTTTATAATTCAAAAATTACTTATCAAATTTAATGATTACAATTTTTTGTGATCATTGAATTCCCGATGTATAATCGTATGAATTTCATTGTCAAAATTCTGTTTTATATCTGAAATCTTACGTAAATATCACGTTTTAGCATATCTGGAATTATATGAACTGACTGACTGATAAGCGGTGATGATTAATATTTTTTAACATGAGGTTATGTGATTATGTGATTTACAAAATGTTTTTGATTAAGCATCAGGTAGCCTTAAACTTTAAAATAGTTGTACTTTCTATTGCAAATCACAGCAGTTTTTAAACAGTGATATAGTTTTACAAAGATGTAATTGAATGTTTATTCATAACAATGCATGGTTGCTTTATAATACTAGTAAGTATCGTTTGTCCAATTATTGCATTCAAGACAATATGTAGTTTACAACCCACTTTTTTATCTCTTAGATTGGTTTATTAACTTTGCTTATTTCTTTAGTAAGCTTGCAATGTCAGTTAAGTTATTTTTATTTAGTTGCTTAGAACATTTTTCATTTGCTGTTGTTAGCAAGTAAACTATAATGTTATACTTAAAATTTTAGGGTTATGTATAAATTAGGTATGATACATGCATGTAAAGAAGAGAATAGGTTACAGATAGTTGAGGAGACATATAAGTTACCATGACCTGTGAATGAGACTTATCATTTTTTTATTAAAACATTTTTCTAAATGTTGTGATCACCAGCACTTAGGGAGAATGGGTTGTAACATTAGGATATGTTTAAATCAATCAAAAATAAATAGAGTAACAGTTGCATTTTACTATTTATTTTAGTTCATATCATAATGAAACATGACCGGGCGCAATACAGAGAAAACTGGATTACTGCTAATAAAGTTTTAAGATGCAGTGATGCAATGCCTAATGATGATGGCTGTAGTAATCTGTTCAATAATGTTTTTTATAATGACCATGAACATTCACAACCTTTACAAAAATCAAGTTGAACCATTGCCAGTCCTAAACAAAGTTCTTTCTCTTCGAAAGTTGGTATTAATGATTGTGATATTGGGGAAAATGACCGTGCTGTTTCTGGTGAAGTTGATATTTTAGATGTTTCTTTTTGCCTTGGAAAAGCTAATTCTTTGGTCCATGTGAATGCAGACATTGGGGAGATGCATTTTCTGTTTCTTCTGATTTTGAAGATGATAGTTTAAATGTTTCTTTTCAAGATGGGTTAGTTGATTAAGTGAATGAGTACTCATTGTTTAAAAGTTCTGCAAAAAATGTATCGCCAGTGTTGTGTGCCATTTTGAATATCAAACTTGTTGTAGTGTTTCCTTTTGTCCTAACATGTGGTGACTCCTAGCCAAAAGACTTGGAGTTTTTGGATGAGTTTATAGAAGATTTGAAGGGTATTCTAGAGAGGGGAGTCCAAGATGGGGAAAAGATTCTGACTGTTACAGTAAGGGGCATTGTTTGTGATGCTCCTGCAAGAGCACTTGCTAAAGGTACAAAATCTTGTACTGATTATTTTGGTTATGACAAGTGTACACAAAAAGGGAAGTGACTTGGTCTAGTGACTTACTCTCAAAATAATAATATAAAATTGCGCACTAATATTTCTTTTAGAAAGCAGATACAAGAAGAACATCATCGCTTTGTTAGCCCTTTCTGTCACTTGCCTGTTGATATGGTAAAACAATTTCCAATTGACTACATGCATCAACTGTGTCTGGGTGTTATGCGTAAATTGATTATGGTTTGGATGAGGGGAAATCGCGCTGCTAAAATGTCTGTTGCCCATGTAGACGCTGTTAGTAAAAAATTTGTGGAGCTTAAACCATTTATCCCCTCTACATTTGTGCAAAAACCTAGGAGTTTAATGGAGGTTGACAGGTGGAAAGCTACAGAATTCATACAGTTTCTTTTGTTTACAGGCATTTCTTTCAGCCGTCAATGAAATCTTATCAACAAATTCTAGAAGTAAGTACTGTAGTTGCAATGCAATAGGCCATTGCTTTATTCAAAGGATTGCAGTTTTTCAGATATTTCTACGTTGCATTTAAATCTAATGAGTGATTTTGCTTTTTAGATTTGCTGGAGTACAGCGAGCTGATCTCCCTTGCAGAAAAAGGTATAAGCGCTATTATAATCCTTGTACAAATGGACAATTTTTTGACAGAAACATGCATGTATAAAATTTCTCTTTTCATACTAATATAATGTTGATCTAGATTTATATGACGATGAACCAGCACCAGAAATCCTAAACACAAAGGTTCATGTACTAACTTCCCCATCTACTAGTAGGACACCGTCTCAGTGTAGTGGTAAGTTTTCTGTCATCAGAACTCACTAATCAGCAACTTTCATATAATATGTCGTCTAAAATGTTGAAATAATTTTAATTGATTCTTTTTAAATAACTTTAACATTCGTATTGTACATTTACTGTTTTTCAACGTCCATCGTTGCATTAAAGGGCTTATGAATGTTCTACAGGTGCTGTAGGCGTTGGTCCTTTAAAATGTTGTTGTAATTAGTTGAAAAAATGTTAGTAATAGTTAAAATTGCAGTTGTATTCCCCACGATTTAATCAAAATACATTCGTTCATATCTAATTCTCAGCGTTTGCTATCAAACCACTAAATGAAACTTTCTGGAGGTTTTTATTTTAGTCATCTTTCTGTTTCTGACTTATGAAAATTGTAGTGCCTTAATTTAAATGACGTTCGTGCGTTCAATAAAGATATATGTTAAACCCAGTACATGTCTTCTCTGTAGATACAAGCAACGTCTCTTCACGAGGAATTCCTACAACTGGCACAACAAGAGAAAGACATTCTCAACGAAACAGTGGTATCTTAGGCAAGCTTTTCTTACAATTCATTATCGCATGTCTTGTTGTTACGTTTTTGTTTACGTTCATTTCGTGTCGTTTGAAATGTTTTTTTTTCTTCACAACTAACTGCAACACATGATTGCTTTGCAGATGCGTATGACCTTTCATCGCACTAAACGCCTTCGACAAGTGTTATGAACATAACACCTGCAGGAAGACGTTCTCAACCAAACATTAATGGTACCTTTTCTACAGTATATAGTTTTTTAATAGCGTTGTTATTATGTATGCGTATTCAATTAGCAATTTGATGCGAGTTTTATTTGAATTTTCTTGTTAGCATGTTGTAAGGTTTTATATTTTTAAGATATAACGTATATTATACATAAGTTATTCTAGTATTTTCTTATCTATCTTGTATGCTTCCAAAGATAAGTCTTCACCAAACTGGAATCATTAATTAATAAGCAAGAAGAAGCGTTGTCAATATTGCGTGCTCTGTTAAGCGCTGCGAAAGGTGTAGACGAGCACGAAATTTTGGAAGATGTTCTACCTAATCCTTTAGATTTGGTTGAAGAACTTGAGGACCTATCTTCTAGTCTTGATGAAGAAAAGTCCAGAAGAAAGTTGGTAAGTTTTGGAAAGATAACCACCCATACGTATTTAGTAATATTTATTTTTACTGCCTATATTTTATGCATGACTCTTTCAAGTGTTACGTAAAAAAATGTGACAAAGGAAGGCATAGCTCTTCCCCTTTATCGGTTTGGAAACGTTAAAAATGATTGTTTCATTTGCAATTACGTAACATAATATTGACTTTTTTCTACCATTTGTGTTTGAAGCTTAAAAACATGCACGTTTGTCAAAGTCTGAAACGTAATTTTAATGACGATTTTCGTGACGTTAGGGGGTTAGATTATCTGACTAAACTATATGAATCTAACATCGTGTTTTTCGTGAGAGCATTGTCGTGTTCTGGTTGATATAAATACGTTACGATACTTCAAACGGCTCTTAGGAGTGTGTCGTTTTATTTGGGCTGAAAAATTTTAACGAAGAAACTGGTCTTTCTAAATGCTCTCACCATTCACTTTGGATAGTTTTATTTTGCAATTAGACATCAAAATGGTTATATATATATGTCTAAATTGAACTTTTCCATATAATTTATCTTTTACTCTCTTTACTAGCTGCAGTTTTTGTTAGCACTATGCGCATGCACCTGTGCAAACAGTGTTAGAAGAGTTATGACAAAGCTGGGAACAAATAATCTATGGTCCCAATATAGTTTAAAAGGCAGAAAGTCAAGCGACCATTTCAACACCTTGTCCTCTGCAAAGTTATAACAAGTAAGCACAATTAGACGATAATGTTTGCTGCAGCTGTACCATGTTTTGTCTCTTTTTTCTCGTTCATGAATTGGAAAAACAGCCATTTATGTTGCTCCTTGTCATAAGGAATATTATTGCAAGTTTTAAAAGCTAATACATTAAACTGTTTTGCATATGTCACTATAATGAATTGTTGCTTATCATTCAGCTTACGAAAATGATTTAGTGTTTTATCTATGCAATTTATTTAAAGTATGTCTTATCTGTTTCGTTTCACTTGTTAGAAGCCTGCCTCAAAGCTCATAAAGGATGCAGCGAGGCCAACGTTGAAGAGCAAATTGCCGAATTTTTAAAATATGCTCCAGGCAAGCAAGGTGGTTCCAGATTTAAGGTAACATGTCATTATCATCATAGATTGCTGGGTAAAGTATATAGATGCCATTTTTTCTTTGTTTGATTTTCTCAACTTAGACAGGGAGAACTCAACTTATTTTACTCCGTAATCTCTTAGTTAACATATTTGTATTTTTTTGTCTGTGTAAGTGGAGAAAAATACAAAATAACATTATTGGCATGTGCACTTAAAGAAAGTGAGCATGTGTCTTTCATTGTCCTTCAATTATAAGTAAAGCAAAATGGAATGGACACATATACATAATGCGTACCTTTAAAAACGTTCATTTTAGTGCAGGTATTAGATTTGTGCAAGTTTTAAATTTTGTTAACTCAAACTGCATGATTAGTTCACTTGTTTTGTTTCTCGTGTGTATGAGATGACGTTGTAGCGCGAGATAATTTCTTATATCCGACGTACGTACGAAGTGGCATTCATATAAATGGATTCATTCGATTGCTTTTAAGTGAATAAAAGTAAAAAATACTTTGATCCATATGTTTATATAAATTAAATTTAGAAGATATACATAAAGCAGACGATTCAGTTTTCCATTTAAATGGCATCTTTTACAGACAAATATGTCAATGTTGTTGTAGGTGGTAAGACATATAAAAATGATATATAGACTCCCATTTTCTAATAATCATAAATGCTATTTTCTTGCAGGTCCGAAAAGGCAACTTATTGGAATCGGCTTAATTAGCATTTTTGTAAATATGTATATTAAAACACGCACAGCAAAATAGATGAATTAAAAGTTGATTATACGGAAATTAAACTTTAGCTCGTATCATTGGAAAGGCTGTTTTATGATTTCACAAATAATGCATCATTTATTGTATGTTAAATGAACGTCGGATAAACGTTGTATGAGCGTTGTATAAACGTCGGCTTAAGTTGAAAATACGTTACATACCAACGTTCATCCTAAAGTCGCCACCACGTTCCTACGAGTTCACAAAAAAACGTTGGTCCCCGACGTTGAGTGAACGTTCGACGAACGTTGGTACAACGCTGAGACAACATGATTTTGCTAGCTGGGAAGTCCTCCGAACAATGATCAAGGATGGGACAGTATATACTTTAATGACGTTAGAAAACACGAGACATCTTTTGTCCATCAATCCGTCTACATCAAATACTGCAATCGCAAATAGAACATGTTGCTCTTAAGCAATGCTTCCATCAGCTCAACTTTTATGTCCATAAACAAGTCCTTGTTCTATTGGAATATGACCGAAGTTGTTGACCTATTAGACTATGGCAGTTCAAAACGTTACTATTCAGGGTATTATATCTAAGGTACGATTCCCACTGGTTAATCCGCCAATCCTAAACACAAGCGAAGTATAAACGACGATATATCAATAATATCATGGTAAGAATAGTATTCTTACTAAACTATTTACAACAGCAAAAATTCCCGCAAATCCTCAAAGTCACTATAAATAATTTTTCTTCTTTTGCAGATGATTAAAACCAAGCCACCATCGACCAGCCAATTTCTACATTAATTAATTAAAAAATTTTCCTAATAAAAACATGGAATTTTTTCAGCATGCAAAACAAAACCAAAAGTCCTACTTTTCTGAAAAACTGTCGATGTTTCCGCTTTCATGTCGTAGACGACATGCACAGTTGTAAGAAATGGCCAATCTTGCTTCTGTGCTTGCTGTCGTTGACACGAAACCGGGGATGTTTGTCAGGTAGCCGGAAAGTTGGATACGATGGATGTACCAACAACGACAAAAATTGTTTTTTGATTCTGAATGATTTCACGTGCTCAGCATCCGTTCACTTCATGGTAATAAAGGAAAGTAGGATTGATCGTCCTTTCCTTAAACTTGGCAACGGATTTCTTGAAAACCGTGAGTTTACATTATGCTTTGTACGTAGTTTAGCCTGGTAACAGGCCATGTCTTTTTACAGAAAGGGCAAAAGCCACAACAAATCGTGGTGCGCAGTATATTCCACTATAGGGCTATTTTTTCAGTGCAGGTATGAAATTAAATAAACATTTTCATGATAGTTTTTTCCCTGCAATTCAAAAATATCCTTCATTAAGAGGTTTTAAAAGTTTTCAGTTTAACTCGAAAAATTATTTGTGTTCAGTGCTCATTAGTAAAATTTGTGTCTTAATTAGTAAACGTGAAGTTGTATTAGCGGTTATTAGCCTGTTATTGACATGCATTTGTGTCGGTTTTACTCGATTTATCTTCGGGAGCTTCTGTGTGAATATACGGCATTAAGAAGCTACGCATGCTTGCCGCGGACGTTGCCTCACAGAAGGATAGATAGGACAATATGTAGCTTAGATCGGAAATGCAAGTGAAGTTTGGCCAAAGGAAGACAACTTCTACTTGTGGTTAATGGGTACAAATTGTACCTTGGCGTAGAGGATGCAAATAGCATCTGTAAGAAGACTATCGGAGACTGGATCTAGCGAGCAAGACCTATTGAAGATAAAGGAAAGATGGTGGTTCTGGTGTAAAGGAAAAATATCTCTCCCTTAGTATGGTAAAAGCATGCAGTCCTGGTAGTTGGCCAATTTCATGAACGGTCTTCTGCAGTGACTATTAAGGCACTCTTGGATCCGCTATAATGCATGAGTAGTACAACCCACCCCGGTTGGAGGTCACCCGTAGTTGCGACATGCACTAGGTTAAGTTACGTTAAGGGCATGATGGGTTACCTCCTTCAAGAGGCACTTCTTTTCAGGGCGGAATTCCGGTGTTATGCGCAGGTAGAAAGTTTATATAGTAAAGGCATGCGCTGTAGTTACGGCGAGTAGTTGCTACGCTCAGATGACGAACGTGGGACTGGTATCTTGATCGATTTATAGGACGAGCCCACTTTCGACAGACATGACTAAAATCCCTAAAATACCTAGTGGTTTCTTCCTGTTAAGTATTCTCCAAGTTCTCGTGACTTTGTGTTCGGTCTTGATTTATACCATTCAGGTTTTTCCATTACGGATTTTTTATTTCGGTTAAGTCTAAAAAAATCAGTGACTTTAGCAAGGGACCAAAGTTGTACTTTATGTTATATACAATCATCAAAACTAAAAACAAAATTCATTTTGTAAAAGAACTTGTTTAGAGTACGTGCTCCCGATAAAGTTAACGTGAACATGAACCATTTTTGACCGTCTGACAATCTTCGGAAGATATAATTTCTGAATTATTTGATAAATCTATGATCTGTTTAATTTATTTCAAACAGCTATAATTTACCAAAATGTCACACACATCTTTTAGGAGCGGTACCATTTAGTCTTTATTCGATTCCCAATACACTGTTCTTGTGTTAGAATTGCCCATTTTTTAGTTATAATTTTTAAGTAATTTTTGACGTAAACATCTCAAATTGTAAATTGTAATAGGAAAGGCATTTATGGCTATTCGTATGTTCAAGATAAGTATGTCCTCAGTTATAATTTTTTGGCAAATATATGTGGTCTAGTTTAAAAACGAATTTTTTTAAAAATCATTCATTTGAAAGAAGTCTTAAAAGTAAAGAAGATGATTTTTATGACGTATAGTTTATGGGTAGAAGAGAATAGCAATTTTTTATGATATCATAGTACACTACATACGAATGCTTCAATTTAATTTAATTAAAATTGCTTTCTGAAAATGTTAATATTTGTTTATTGACACTTCCCTTCGATTTTGGAAGTAAATGGGATTACGATGTACGTTCGTTTTCCCTCCAGTGAAAGGTGGTCCTTTAGTGGATATTAAATTTCAGCAGGTGTTTTGTGTACCGTTGCATAAGTTATAAATCTTACATACTTACCAAGTGCATGTATATAGAATATCTCTTACAATTCAGTCCGATGTTATACTTAGATTTCTGTGCGACTACGTATGACATTTAAAAAAGAATGACGTGTGTTATGTAAACGAGTACCAAATAATTCATAGTCTTGTGAAAATTGATGAAGACTTGTTACCATTGCAAACCAATCCTTGCAGCAAAAGTAAAACACGGTTGTGCAATCTAGCTAACATATGTTACAACTTACTGTTAAACAAGAACATTTCTAATATCATACTTGAATAAAAGCATGAGACTCTAGATTAGAAAGTCGTTACATTAGAAAGTTGGTATACCAACTTGGCTTACATTAGAAAGTTGGTATACCAACTTGGAACAAACCCCCCTGAACAGATCACAGCAATTACCGGCACCTTACAAACGACTTTATCCCAATACAAACAAACGATCAACTAAAAACATTACACTTCACACTAATTCACAATGACAATACACAATTGACACCCACACATTTCCTGTACACGCAATACTATGACGTAAGAACCAGATATCAATTACGGCTAACCTGACGTTTACTACTCATTTGACTCTGAAGATCACTACCGCTAAGTTTGTCGAAACGTCAGTCTACAACAACAAAAACAGTCCTTAGGACTTTACCAACCTTGACGATCTACATTTACAAACATGTAACGATACTCCCGGGTTCAAACCATTTACTTAAAAATTATCAGTTAGCGTATATATCACAAGAAATTAGCAACTGTCGAGCAAAATATTGATATTGACTTATTCAAAAAAAATTCAGTTGAAGTAGTACACCGCGTTTACACTATACTTGATTCGCTCATAACGACATCTTCATTTGCTTTAAATGGGTTCAATCTGTTCAGATTAAATGTTTATTAAGTTGACTATTTAATTGTGTTTCTGACACTGAAGGTTATCACTGCTTTCAATACTTAGAAAATTTAACCTGCTTTGATAGCAATCCCGGTTAGTGTACGCAAACGGGGCCTTAGTCATTATTATAATTTCAGAAACACCATTTACTTTTATAAAAGAGTTTATACTGTTTGAAGGGCGAAGTGTACATTTGGCAGTGAAATCAAACGTATTTATATGAAAGTCATACGTCTTTAACCAAAGTAATTGAGAATAAAATTTAAATAATGAGATACTATATCATTCAATAATGTAAGCTAGATGCACATCATCATTGATTTCTAATTTGTTTTCCTGCCTATAAACTTTTCATTGATGTGGTTCGCTTTCATTAAAAACTAAAAAAGTTCTTAAGTTCTCGGTTGTTTTTCTATTCGTCATTTGACCTGACGGGGATTTCAGAAAGAACTCCTTAGGATCATCGACTTTATACAATGGATTGTTTTAGTGTTGGTGGCAATCGATTTATCTAGCTGTCAAGGAAAGCCAACATTTAAATAATGATGTACGTCAAAATGTATTTGTCTTTTCCAATCTGAGGAAATTATAATTTACAACGGTATCTACAAATTCTTCATGGACGCTTGCCTTTTCACAAACTGTTTTTACTGTTTAAAAACTGTTTATTTTCGATGTTGTTTCTTTTCACTAAAATTTAAAAAGTTCTTGAGTTCTGGATTGTTTTTCAGTTCTTCATCGGACCTCACCGCAGCGTGCACCCTAACAGGGAGAGTGGGAAATGTTTTGAGAAAATACGACTTGTGATCACCAATCTTATGAAATGGTTTTGGTTGTGGTAGAGGTCGTCGTTCATCGTACCAATGTTCGCCAGTATTTCGAATAAGTCTCAAGCACTCTGTCCTTGAAGATCCATAACTAAAAATCTCTCCAGTCCTCACGTTCGTTCTAAAATAATCATATACATCTTCATCCATTTGGCATCTCCAATCTAACGTTTCGCTATTCAGATGTTGAACGACAATTGACTTGGAATCATTTGTCTTAATCTGTTGAAGATTTCCAACTTTACATAATAAATCAAATTTCTCGTCATCCGACATAAGAAATGGGTGTTTTAACGCCTCGGTAGCTGATGGTCTGTCTTCTGGTTGTCGATTCAACATCCACGACAGAAAGTCTTTTAATGTTTCATCCTTGATTTTGTCCAAGCCAACAGGTTTCCCATCCAACATGTTCATCAGTCTCTCGGGCTTATTTCCAAAAGGCTGTTTCCCTTTTGTTGCAACATAATAAGCTACCATTCCTGCATTCTAAAAAGATTAACAATGTAATGTCACAACTTGACTGTATATATGCATGAAGTAAAAATGGTTATATTCGTATACTGTTATAATAATGTAGTATATTGCTTGTAAAACCCTCTCCCCCTCAGGTACCTTAGGTTTCTAGAACACCGCAGACGGCGGGCTCAACACACGTGCACTTATTATATTTTAAGTGTTAAACGGACCACTATTAAATAGTTCACAAATCAAGAACCGTATTGCAACATACACTTACATATACATCAGATTGTTTCTTGTACCGTCCTTTATCAACAGAATCTTCATCTTCACAATATGATTCAGGTGCAATCCAATACTCCGTTCCTGTGTTAGGCTTGCTTTCATATGTCGTACAATCATTATTCAATATTTGACTAATGCCAAAGTCAGCTATCAGAAAGTTGTCTTGTGAGTCTCGGAGAACATTGGTAGGCTTTAAGTCCCGATGAATAATAGGATTTTCGCCACTATGAAGATCAGCTAATCCATTTAAAATTTGTCTAATAATTTTGGGAAGAGCGTTTTGAAGATCACTTAGAGAAGAAGATTTCACATAACTCTCCAACGATTCTTCACATAAGTCTAATATTAAATAGACATACTCCGTTCCAGTATCTTCTTCTAAGAAGGAATAATTCACAACATATTTCGATTTCTTTGCGTTGAATTGATTTAAAATTTCTTTTTCTTTCTGTGCAAGCTTCATGCAGTTGTCTCGACGTATTCGTTTCACTGCTTTGCCGTAACCATCCTTTCTCAGTCCAAGAAAAACACGGGTCTCGTTATTTCCTTTACCGATGCAAAACACGTCCGAAAAAATCACACGAACATCATTCACTTGTTCAACCTCCACACTGGAATCGCGTGCTCGTTTAAGCAGATTTGAAAACATTTCTTTATGCTTCTTTGATTCATCATTGTACTTCCACTCTTGCAACTTTGATTCTAAAAAAATTCGATAAAAGAATTAAATTCATGCATGGGTAAAAGAAACGCATATTAATACCGCATATTTTGAAAATCCTTATCAACAACTACTTATGATAGACATATCATAAATTTCTTAATTATGCAATGAAATCTGGTAACGTTGAGGTAAGCTTATACCAAAAAATTATTTACAAAAAGTTTTTTTACAAATATTTTGTTGATTTTCGTCGAAGAATAACCTTATATTTTTCGAACATATTAAGTTAAAATTTTCAGAGCATGTTTTTTGAACTCGTCTTTTAGAGGCTGATTGCATGATCCGGTAGCCGAGATTCAGCAAAGCTTTAAATGACTTTGGCAAATGGAAATGATTCAACACTCATCAACAGATAAATCTTCTCGAGCATTTTCATAATATTTTGATTTAACTAATTTAATAATTACGCAAAACATTTAAAATGAAAACAACCAAATTGGCCTAATTAGAAAATGTTAACGAGAACGACTTGTGGCGCTTAACAAACGTAAAATGATTTCGAGGCATTGAAAGGGGTAAGCTTAAAAATTACAACTGTTTGCTAAAGGCCACAAGTCTTTCCTGTTGAAATTCTAAAACTAGGCCAAACTGGTTGTTTCAATTTTAAATTTTTTGCTCTGTTAAATCAAAATGTTGTGAAATTCCTCAAGAAAATTTATCTCATGGTAAATACCGACTTGTTTCCATTTGCCAAAATCATTTAACGCCTCGCTGAATTCCAGTTAGTGAAGTCAGGATCATTTAAACACCGTCTTACCGGATGAACTTTCTTATGTTTTCTGCTAAACTTTTAATGTTGAAATGCAATCAAATCCTTAAATATTATTCTCTCAAACGTTGTTTTGATATCTAATACGTACTATTCCTCTTATACACCTTGGTAAAATGACGCTTGTTATCTTTATCCTTGTAAACTAAAGCTCTACCTCGTGTTTTTTCTCATTCTCGTGCAGCATTGCTGGTATCATTTCCCCCTTGCTAAACTGAATATGATTATTTGCAGTATTTAACTATTTTATCCAACATATGATGATTTATTTGTAAGAAACAATTTGTCTGTCATAAGTCAGAGTTATCAAGGAAAATTCCGTTTTAACGAAATTTTTACCCAAGGAGAAAAGATATCTCATGCCATATCAAAGAAATCGTGCCGTTTTTTAACACCACGATAAAAGTAAGCCATTCAAATTCTTGCCATATTTTTTAGTTCATTTCACTTTTACAAGAATTTGGCATTCACAAGATATCATTCGACCACAACTGAAGATATAAATAGCTCCCTCCCCATATATAAGTTATAATTTCGGCCCTCTATATAGTGGTCCGTGCTACAATATCTGAGAAAATATGTTACAGTCATTGAATTCTGTAAGCAATATTTCAGCAGCAGCGTAATTAAACACCCCTCCCCCACCGCACTTAAAGTTGTAGTTTTGGCCCTCTATACAGTGGTCAGTGCTACAGTATTTGAGCAAACATGATACAGCCATTGAGTTCTGTGAGCGATTATTCATCAGCAGCGTTATTCTTGCTCAATCGGGAGGCTTAAGTCGTAAGTGGCTTGGTCTGACTCACGTGCACTTTTTAATGGAGGTCATCAAGCCAGTTGACAATCATCAATTAAGACACAGTTTGAATCATAAATGAGATTTTTGGACTCATTTGCTCTTCTAATATAGTCCAAATAATTACATTTATTTATTTTGAGATCAGTGGGAGTAATTTATTGAAATCAATGAATAAAGTCGTTGTTTTTATGTTTTCCGATTAGTAACGTTATTTGCTTATCTATTTAGGGAAACTTTCTAGTAGAAAAAACTGATACATGAACTTTTATGCTCTATGCAACTTTCAAAATGCACTTCTAAGAAAAAAGTATTCAAAATTTAATTCTAAGCTAGAAAATGATCTTTGTGCACTTTTGAATGATGTTCACACTGAAGAGGTAATCTCCAGTATACTTAGTAAGGAGAGAGCTCAAAAAACTTGTACTTTTCTGTAAATTTAGAATTTAGAAAATCGTTTAATATATGTGCAATTTAATGCAACATTTGTCATAATGAAAATTGTAAATCGCCTTCTTTTTATTGTGGAATTTCGAGAATTCACATCGTTAAATTGGCTCATTTTCCATATGATTTTGAGGTCTTTTACTTACAATGAACAGGAATTCTTATTTATTGAAGTATATTGAGCAAGTCGATTTGATGGTGGCCTTTCCTTGCATAATTTTCAATGTTATTAGCTAGGTAATGTATGCATGGTGGTGCAAACGTGAAGTATGACAGTATATCCAAAGGATAGTTTGTTGAGGAGTTTTTATGATTAAACAAGCAGAATACAAATAAACGTTACTTTGAAAAAAATAGATTGCGTGATGTCATTATCACCTCAAGTCTCATCTTAATTTCAACTGACTATAATGTGCTTCAAGTACAAATTGTGAAGTGACAAGATTTTACTGTCATGATTAAAACAGATGAAACCATCCGCAAATGTTACCATTCAGTGTTGCTTAGACATGTAATGAAAAAAACTCATATATTTCATAACATTTGTTAATGTAAAAGGTTGATTGAAGACTGTATTTGAAGAAAATTACTTGGTGATGTTTATTCAATTGTTTCAATACTTTCGATGCAGTTAGCTAGGAGCAAAAAAACATAATTTCCATCTGGAAAAACATTATACTCCGACTAATCTCCTGTACCCTAATAAAGAAACTAGTAATTATTGTAATCAAACACGAGCACTTTTAAAACAGATGGTCTAACCTGAACACTTCTAAAATGCAGGGTCTGATCTGTATGGTGTAAATTATGTCAAGATTTTTAACTTACTGATAATAAGCTTCAAGTACAAATTGTGAAGTGACAAGACTTTACTATCATGATTAAAACAGATTAAATCAGCCGCAAATGTTACCATTCATTGTTGCTTAGACATGTGATGAAAAAATACATATATGTTATAACATTTGTTAATTAAAGACTGCATTTGAAGTAAATTTTTATTAGAACTTGGCCTTGGTGATGTTTTTTTAAATGTTTCAGAACTTTCGAAAGCTGTAAGCCAGGAGAAAAAAACATAAATTACTATCTGGAAAAAAGTTATACTCCGACTAATCTCCTGTACTCTAACAAAAAAAAATAGTAATTACAGTAATCAAACACGAGCACTTTTAAAACAGATGGTCTAACCTGAACACTTCTAAAATGCAGGGTCTGATCTGTATGGTGTAAATTATGTCAAGATTTTTTTTAAAAGGTTTTAGGGTATTTATTATAACCCTTTTTCTTCAATGGAACTAATGAAATGTAGTCAATTTGAGCACTTTATAAAAAGAGTTGCACCACTTTCGTGCTACGCAGTGTTTATTGAGATTTACAAAGACTTGTCAAGTTGTGCTGAGCACTAACGTCTGGTACACAGTACATTTAAATTATTTGTCGTTCACAAAAGGAAAATTTAAGTCATTGACACAGTATTGAACATGCGTAATAAACGAACGTTTGGAGTCCAAAAGTGTAACACTGTATATGTACATCATGCATATTATTAAATAATATAAATCTTCATAAAAACACATAAATACCATTCAAATGACTTGAATTGTGATACAATACAAGACAAATATGCTTAGGTTATGCAATATACATAAAATAAAATAAAATTGAAAGGCATACCTTGTTTTGTATTTTCAACACCAGGAGAATTTACGACATCATTAGCATTAGCATCATCACCACTTGTGATATCTACGAACAATATTTTAAAAAGCGTTATCCACACAAGCTGTGTATTTCTATTTTGAAAACAGGTGAGAAATGAATTTACAGCTAGCGCTCGAATAAAATAACACAAATAAATTGCAAAGTTTTGGATAGTACAATTGGACTTATAATTGGATAGTACCTTACAATTGGAAATACTGAGGGGGCAGTATATATTTTCACGTAATGAACCAGCTTTTATCAGGCGTAATTTTACAAATAAATGTAGATAAACAAACTTTATGAATTACGAATACCAAAGAGTATTTTGGTAAAACACAAGACAATAGACACTCTGTATATTGTAAACATTATTTATCTAGATTAAATATTGTTTACTATATACGGAGTGTCTATTGTCTTGTGTTTTACAAAAACTTCATGAAGCAAACAGCAAATGTTTTGTAAAACGAAAATAAAAACAAAACAAAAAAACATGATATGAACGTTAGCCAAAAAAGAACACTCGAAAAGTGAGTTGTATTATCTAGGCAACACAATTTCAAACTATATATTTTCTGCTGGCAAAAACTAGAGAAGTGAAAGACAGTCTTTGCAAAACAGCAAGAATAGAAAAAGAAAAGAAAGCTTAGTTTTAGGTCAAATAATACCATATAGCTAATAGACTTTTTATTAATCTCGCCTGCTCGGTCTTTATTGAGAAATGTCGGACCTCTGTTTTTAGCACAAACCTCGCCCAAAGGGTCTCATTCAGTACAAATAAATTCAGTCCGATATTTCTCCGTAAAGACCTCACACTCGGTTATTAAGGGCGTTGTAATGAATTCAGATAATGAAAAGTTTTAACAAACTGTTGTCGCCAATCTCTGTTGAGTATCTTAGTAAATATAAGAAAAAGTTGTTAAAGTCCGTTGTTGATGACTGTCTGTTTTGACGACACGGAAACTATTACAACTTTATGCAATTTTATGCAGCCAGTCAAAGAACGAAAATTGTAAGCAGACACAGACATTAACTGATTTTTAGCGTTGTTGTTTAATTACTGATAGATTTAAAAGAAAAGTCTGGAATTATTTTAATCATACATTATCGTCATACACAGTATATATATACATTCAAAAGTTTCCTAAAGAATATGCAAGCACCCAAAAGCCTAGAAAATCGACGAATTTTATTTCCTTAGCAGAGCAAATGAATGGTTGCTTAATTAATGCTTTATATTAAGCAACTTGATAAAACTAGATCTCAGCAAACAAATACATTATAGGTCTAATTGTAACTTGCCATAAAATTTCTACTTTCACTCCTGTAAATTAATATCTGTGAAATGTAAAAATGACATATTTTCTTGCTGTAAAAAGTAATACACTAAAAATGGCATAAGCATGCTGAAATATGTCTGTTTTAAAATCATCCTAATTTATTTCCAATGTTTGTCACTTTTTCAGTCCATGATTTTTTTAATTAGGTAATTTTCACAGAGCTGGGTTTGTGAAATAAAAATTTTTCTAAGATGTCAAAGACTCAAAGTGTGTTTAAATTTTGATACGTATATATTATAAGATGATATTTAAATGTATGCTTTAATTCTATGAGTCACTTTGAAATAGACACCAGGTATATGGAATATTATTATCTCTAAGTTGGTGCAATGTTGTCCATGAATAAGCTACGGATCTCACATAGGTGGAGTTAGACACAAAAAAACATGAATTAAATTTGAGTTTAATATTATTGCCTTTGCCATTAATGTACCTATTGATTTGACGGATGCAAGACTTTGTGCCAGTATATTTTCACTTAAGAGCTGATTCTCTAGTTCAGTAAAGTCTGTATTTTGAGTATGGTTAATAGTTACGACATTTTCAGCAACTCTGTGACAATCGGGAGCTTTAGCAAAGACTACGAGTACGACTACGAGTACGAATTACGTCATTTTGGCTCGAAAACATTGATGCGACAACAACAACACGTAGCCGTCACAATCTGAGCGTGACGTTTTGTAAAAAATTCGTAGTCGCGACCACAATGTCTTTTTAAGCAAAGAAAGTAGGTATATTTTTTCATTGTGTAAGAAATTAGTTTACAGTACTATTTTCGACCATCCAAGCTTTCCTTTAGAACCTTTTTTGCGCGCAGATGTACATTTAAAACAAAAATATGACCTGCAAAACTTCCATGTATGTCGTACGCAAAGTGAATGGTAAACAAACAATAAAATAGTATAAATATATCGTACATAAAACTTAAAATAGTGAAGATTTTTCACTCTAAAGAGTCCTATATTCTCGCAAAATCAGTGTTACCCATTCATTAATATTATTATTGACAAATAGAGCCGTAGCTGCTTCGCAAACATCGGTGTTTTCACAATGAAAAGCTCGTTCTGTTGTTTACAGTTAAAACAAAATTTTTAAAACGCGGCAACGACAACAAACTTTCTCATGCCATTCCCTTACACGGTCAAACCTAGTACTCGTTGTCGTATCGTACTCTTGCTAAAGCTCTCTAATTACAAGTTACAACAACACCTGTTGTCGAGACATCAATGCAGAAAGCTTCATCGTCAAGAGTTACACATTTTCAAGCTTATTTTAATGATGGAAGTGTTCAACATTTAGTACAAGATTGGCAGAATACATTTCATAACTATTTATATTCATTATGGCTGTCAGCGTTAACAAACTTCCTTGATGAACTTTATGACAAAATTGCGTCCTCCAAAGATTTAATAACCAATATTGATAGTTTTCTTTTTAATACTTTTGCCAAATTTTGCGGTTTTTCGACACAAAATTTAACAGTATTGATGCTTCATGCTGGCATTTGTTTATAGTAATATAATAAACTAGCGAGGTGGGAACATCTTGTGACGTCACGATCCATTTGTAAAAATTCGCATCCGGCGGCGAACTTTAGCGTTAAAATTAAACAACTTATACAAAACCAAAAATGCTCAAACACCAAAATATTTTTCATTTGGCGAAAGAAAGATGGGGTGAAATTTGGCCGGAATTGAACTTTAACAAAATATCATTATCGCAAATGAGCCACCAACATTATGTTGTATATAATACCTATAAACTTACCAAAATATTTTGATGACAAAGAAACATGAGCATGACTTGGAACTGGAAATTTACTCTGAGCTTTTTGAGACTCATATTTTTCAGTTTCTTCGTACATCGTACGAAATTTTCTCAAAGACGCATAAACATGAGTATGGTCCTTACCTGGCACATTCAATTTTCGAACTTCTACAGATTTTTCAAAAAACTTTGTAGCTTTGTCGTGTTTTCCTGTTTTATCATAAAGCAAACCGAGATTATTTAAAGATGCAGCGACATCAATATGATTTGGACCTAACGATTGTTCTTGAATTTTCAGAGCTTTTTCGTGAAACTCTATAGCTTTGTCGTAATTTCCAGTTTTATCATACATCACACCAAGATTGTTTAAAGACGCAGCGACATCAACATGATTTGGACCTAGCGATTGTTTTCGAATTTCCAGAGCCTTTTCAAGATGATTTTTAGCTTCGCTATACTTCCCAGTGTCATGGTATAAAAGACCGAGGACACTAAAATACCAAGCTTTGTCATTACTAGATTCTTCTGATTTAAATTTATCCAATAGTTCAAGAGCAAGATCGTATTTTCCAAAATGTCTTAATCTGTCAACAAAATATTGGAAAACTTGTAAAGCATTCATGTTGATTTTTGTCTTGTTGGTCCTTAACAATTGAAGAAAATTTTCAAGATGTGGTATCAATTTGCTTTCGTCGTCTCTCTCTTTAAACATGTAAAGTGCTAAAACTATTTGGTCAACGTTTGATTGAAGAGAAGGCAAATTGCAACTTTGTTCTATTTTGCATTCTTTATTTAAGTGTTCATATTGATAAACATTAATTGCTTTGTGAACAATGCGATGTAGACTAATGTCATTATTTTCTGAATGCAAGAACAGTGAGCAGTCCTTTAAACAAAGACATACATCTTCCTTTGAGTGCTTGGGATCAATTAATTGAACATAAAAAACAATAATGTCTCGTGGTATAGGATAAAACGATATAACAGAGAAAAAGTTAATAACAATTGCCAGTAATAAGGATTCTTCAGCATTTTGTCTGACAGCTAAAAGGGAAGCTTGTAACATACTTCTAGGATATACTGAGTTAAATTTAACAAAAGTGGCGTCCATGTTTTCATCTTCTTCTGAAGATATTTTCTTTAAATATTGACTCCAAGAAAATGAATTGTTTGCTTTGTTTACACGACTGACATAATGACCAGCAGCAGCCAAAGCCAGCGGTTGACGATCTAATGCGTGCGATACTTCTTTCAACAATTGATCATCATCATATTCATTTTTAGTGTAATGCTTCAACAGTTGAAAACATTCCCTATCATTCATTCCATTTCTGATAGAAATATGTTTGTAAAACTCATCGTCTTGAGGTACGGCATCTGTGTTCTGGATGGTTACTATGATTTGTCCATTTATCCACATGGGATCACCAACTTGGGGAAGTAACGAAGAAATTTTGCTGAGCTGTACCACATTGCCTACAATGATCAACCAATTTTGCCAGAATTTTAATCGTGTAGATACTAACGATCGCAAATTCTTCACTTTGTTTGTGATAGAACTGTTTTCATCTTCAAATTTTTTAATCATATACTTGTCACAGTTTAAACCGTATCCAAGTTCGGAGTAAGTTTTAAAAAGAGATTCCTCATTTTTTCCATCAAGAGTCATTACAAATGAAGTTTTATTGTTCCAATCACACGATATTTTTTCACAAACCTGTCTTGCAAGTTGAGATTTACCACTGCCAGGATTACCAGAGATGTAGAAATATGTCAGCTCATTATTGTTATCATTCCTTAATTTTCGAAGATCTTTTATAATTTTGTCTCGTAATTCAGTGCGTTCAATGAGAAAATGATTAGGTCTTGAAGGAAGAACTTGGAATGAATTAAAACTGTTACGATGATTTTTTATTTCATTGATTCCATCGAGGGAAAATTTCAAATCTTGAAATGATTTTTCAATGATATTGACTATTTTATCAAAATCATCATCTGAGCATTTGCTTTCATACCAATGTGCGTATTTGTTTCTTTCATCACGAAGTGCATGAACAGCATCCTTTGCTTTTGTGTCAAGATGGTTTCCAATTGAATTTGAAAAAAGTATAGCATCAAATAATATTGTGCAGTCCCAATTACTGGTGTCTCCATCCTGATATTTTTGTCGAGTATTTCGGTCTATTTTTCTTCCTGATTCCAAATTGTAAAATTTGTTACCACTGTTGTTTGTATTATCCCATTCTCCATAAGTTGATTTGTAACGAGAGTTCCATTCTTTGATGAAAAATTGAGCAAGTTCCGTTTGTACCACATTAATTACTCTTCTGATGTAATATAGATTTCTGTTTTCTCTTGATTCCATCTACAAAAGCAAAATTTTTGAGAATGAAAAAATAAAACCAACTGCTTCTGCATCGTAAACAAGAATGAAATAATAATGAAAACATTTTAGCACTCTTCATAGGCAATATGACAAACAAAACATGTACATAAGTTTTTATTTCTACTTATTTTAATTGTGATTGAAATCTTGAAACGAAAGTTTTCATTATTGGCGTGCAAGACTTATTTGCAAAATCGTGTTTGGATGAATTTCTAGCAGTTTTTGTTTCTGACGGATTTCTTATTGCTGACGATTCCATCTGTACAAAAATTCAACATGATATATCAACATGATTAAAATCAAGAAATTCCAAAAATTCAGTACAACCCTTATCAGTTTCTATTGAAGTCTCAATTTACATGATGACAAAATCAATCTTATTTGTTAATTGATTTAACCTCACCAAAAACGTACTAAAATTACAAAAAAAACCTGAAAACTAATAATGACAGAGAGAATGTATGCTAGAGCTTTTACCAACTGCAGTATACTGTCAAACAACCTTTGGAAAAATTAAAAAAAACATGATATTTTACGTTAAAATTTACATTACAAAACAGACATAAGAATTTATATTTCAATAATTTTCATAGTCATTTGTGAATGTCGTGCATCTTCATCTAAGAATATGTTATAATGTTATAGCTAATGGCCTTTTTTTAAATTTACTAAGGTTTATGTTTATTTAATTTCATACGCAGTCTAACGCATTTATTCAAACTTGATTTTATAAATATATTTGTTTTACAACATGTTGTAACACACGATCTTGTTTTTCTTTGGCTATATACGAGAATTGATTGGCAATGTCAAAATTCTTTATCAATTTTAAGACCATCAACCACTATTTTGAATAAATTTTAATAGGAAATGAGATTTTTTAATCTATGTTGAAAAATAACGCGTTTTGAGGGGATCATTTACGTAAACTCGAATGTTGAATATTGCCTTTTGGTCGAGCGTGACTTTTTTAGAACGTGTACCTATAAATACGATAAAAGTTTTCAGATGTAATTTTTCTGAGCTTTTACAAAGGACTTTTAGTTCGCAAAATACTACAGAGTAGAATGTTCGTAATTTATAACCTATCTCTATGGTACGCACCGACTGAAAAGAAAACTAAGAGAAAGCAGACTCTAACAGTTTCGATAAGGGAGAAAATGAAAATTGTTTTTGCTGATTGTGTGCTGTTGCGAACAGCATTGGCTATGTATAAAAAAGCATCATTTTGCGACGTTTTCGAGAATCATAAAAAATAAAATTACTTTTTTCGTATTTGCAAGTGTTAAACACTATGGACAAGGATGTTAACAAGGAAGTTATATTCTGAAAGACAAGAAGAGAGGTTGTGAAACGTCATAATGAGGATAAAATTCAGAAAAAAGGAGACAAATATTGTCTTTTATTTGTTTAAAAATAAGCCGGCATTCAGAGGACATAATAAATCAAGCTCTAGCTTAAATAAGGACAACTATAATGAGCTTCTAAAGTCATTTTGAAATTTATGTTTTGTCTTTGTCTTGAAAGCCAGAAGTGACGTATGATACGGCTGATGCACAGTTTTTGTTTTCACTGATGTATCACGTGATGTCCGGAATTGTTTGATTGCCTAACTGTATTGATGAAGTTATAAAAATATTCACTATCAGATTGATAAGGAAATCAGAGAATTTCAGTTTTTTAACTACTTAATACGACGAAACTTTGCATAAATAAACCTTAGCATCAAAAAAAGACATTTGCAAAGCCACAAAGATTATCTAAAGATTGCATTTAAAATCTGGAACTATAAGATTTAAAAGAAATATTTGATACGGTACCTAACTTTGAGGTTTTAGCAATGAAGATATTTTTTCTCTCAGTGGTCTGTTGTTTTTTTTTTGCCACTAGGAGGTGTGATTACAATCTCAAGTTAACCTCGACTTTGAACTCACTATTTTACTTCACAGTAACTGAGTAAAAACTTCTATGCAACTTCCTAATCCCAAACACTGACTCCAGCATTTAGAATGTATCAAATTTTACGATCCCTTTGCCTCTTTTATTTGATATATCTGCAGACGGCGTTGAATAGATTGTTATGTAAAGCGAAGATATGGTTTTATGATTTTTATTGTTTTTTTTTCATAAGTTTGATTATAATTTGGAACAAATTGATCAATAGAAATAAGTATAAATTTTACTAAAATATACCGTTTTTAAGATATTTTGGAAGTATGACCATAAAGTATGTCAAATTATGTAGAGTGTGACTGTGTCATATTATAGATTATAAGATATAACGGATATTAAATTCATGTAAAATAGTATAGTCATGTTAAGAGAACACTTCCTCACCGCAATGCGTCATTGCGGTAGGATGTAGGGAGAAATGGAATGGCGAAGTTGCGCGTCATATGTAAACGCTCAAAAACCACTTTCGAATAATTATACATAAATATAGCTTGCAAGCGTTGGTTCAGGAGTTCGGAAAAGTTGACGTTATTGGTGTATGAACTGGTCATACAAATTTGATGAATTAGAGTCGTATTGCAGAAGGCAATAAATTTTGAAAACGCAGTTCTAGGATTGACGGTTGTCCGTAATCTTAACGAGATCAAATTTAATCATTCCGTGTCGCGAAGAACCAACGCTTGGAACGTAAAATCGTGTAAAACACAGTTAATATCTTATTGAAGTGTTAAAATTATATATTCAAAATACAGTCCCATCGTTAGTTTGAAGTTTTAGAACAGTGAACCAGCACTTCGCGCAGATTGTGCGAAACGTGGTCCTTCAAGCCGGATATAGTAGCAGTATTCAGAAGAACACAGAAATAGGATAAAGAGTTGTTCACGATGTCAGAGCTGACAAGAAAGCGACAGTCGAGGAGTGGTCACAAATCTTACGCCACAAAAATTGTGAACAAGGTGAGAAGTATGGTAAACGATAATGCGCCGTTAACGAAAGTGGAACTGGAAAAAATGCGGCTTGTACTCGTACAGAAATTAGGTAAAATTTCGAATTTGGACGATGAGATTCAGAGCTTGTTTAGAAAATGACGAAGATATTGCGGCAGATATTGCGGCAGATATTGACGGCTCAGCGGAATACAGCTGTGAAGTTTTGCGGGCGTTGGCCGAAATCAACGAAGCGCTGAACACGATAGAGACAAACAAGAGAAATGAGGAACTCGCCAACACATCGGCAAGTACGGTATCCAGTGGAGCACGCTGTAGAGTAAAGCTGCCTAAACTGGAGGTGAAAAAGTTCTCGGGCAAGATACAAGATTGGCGTGAATTCTGATATTCTTTTGAAAGTTCAATTCACAACAACGACGGATTGTCTGAGGTCGACAAATTCACCTATCTGAGGGGACTGGTGGAGGAGCCAGCCAAGTCAGCAATTTCGGGATTTGCTCTGACTTCGATCAACTATGCAGAAGCCCTGAAAGTGTTAGAACGGAGATACGGGAACAAAGTGATGGTGCAAAGGGCACATGTAAATGATATGATGAACCTAAAGCCCGTGTACAACGAGAATGATATGACGAGGCTGCGCAAGTTCTTTGACGCAGTGGAAACGAACTATTGAGGACTCGAGGTGCTCGGTGTAAAGGAGGAGACGTATTGCGAGATAGTCGTGCCCAATCTTCAAACAAAAATACCAGACTCACTAAAACTGGCGATTACCAGGGGAAGAGACTACTTAGTGTGGGCATGAAAGATTCTGTTGACGCGTTGCAAGTGGAAGTAGAGCTGTGGGAATGCCACAAATTAGCAGTTGGGGAGAAGGACGAAGATCAACGAAGAAGACGACGGGAACCAGGAACAGCTAGCGGATTGTTTGCCAGCTGCACCAACCGATTGCTTTGTGCTTTCTGCTGTGGGGAGCACAAACACGAAGAGTGCAAGAAGATAACAGGACGGACAGAACGTATGCAACTTCTTCGTAAGTTTAAAAGATGTTTTGTTTGTCTAAAGAAAGGTCATTTAGCAAAAGATTGTCGTGCACGTACTAAATGTAATGTATGTGGGGAGGGTCATCATGTGTCTATATGTGACAAAGGAAAGAAGGATGAAAAACAGAGTGGTAGCGCAGAGAAAACACAGCAGGCAAATGTGAGTAACGTGCATGTGAGTACTAAGACTAGGGTAGCCTTGCAGACTGCGCAAGGAATTCTTGTAGATCAGAATAGGAAGAGAGTGCGAGTGCTTTTTGACTCGGGAAGTCAGAAGTCTTTCGTGACAAACAGGGCAAAACAAGATGTGAAGCTTAATATAGCAAGGCGGGAATGGCTAGAGGTCAACACCTTTGGTGGTGGAACAAATGAAGGTAAGATGACGTAGTTCGTCATTTGCGAGGTCGCATCAGTTAGGGGTAATTGCAAAATTCTTTTAGAGGCATTAGTAGTTCCACGTATTTGTACAGTAAAAAATGAGCATATTGAGGTGGCTAAGGAGCAGTATTCTCATTTGAAAAATTTGTTTTTGTCAGATGTAAGTTTGAAGCTGGAGATGTTGGAAAGGGATGTTTTAATAGGAGCAGATAAGGAGCAGGTAAGAGGCGCAAAGGTCAGGCTTGTTAAGAACGGTAAAGTCATTCACTTCAATCGTTCCGTCCAAAAGCTCTTTCCTACCGAGTTAAAGCACGACGAAAGGGATTGTGAGCAAAAAGAGAATGAAAAAGAACTGAGAGGAAAGGAGGCAGAACATGAGGGTAGACGCAAGAGAGCCGCTGCTCTTGATTCTGTATGGAAGACAGAGTATGCTTGATTAGTGGGACTAATCAAGGTGGGGAGTGTGTTGTAAGTTGTCACGTTAAATTATGTGGAGTGTGACTGTGTCTTATTATAGATTATAAGATAAAATTGATATTAAATTCATGTAAAATAGTATAGTCTTGTTAAGAGAACACTTCCTCACCACAATGCGTCATTGCGGTAAGATGTAGGGAGAAACGGGATGGCGAAGTTGAGCGTCATATGTAAACGCTCAAAA